CGTCGTGTGCTGTGCTGGCCCGCTGCCCTCCTGCTCCTGCACCCCGGGAGAAGCCGAGATTGCTTCAGACGCAGATGGAAGTGAGCGCTTCGGAGGAAATGGGTGGTTGCACTCCATGGGATGATTGATTGCTTCTGTTATTTAAAAAAAACCCAAAACTCCTGGAGAGGGTTAATTAAGCTGATCAATGTGTTTAAGTCAATGAGTTTCCCTTTAGTTTTTTAAAAAATATATTTATATATATATAATTATGACCTAAAAGAAGGAGCCACTGACCTGCTTTATCCCTGGTTTGGCTTACAGTTGGAGAGGGGAGGCAAATTTTCAATAAAAGTAGGGGAAATCAGCTTTACCCTTGAAAGATCAACTTCTCAGCTTCTGCAGTTTGTTAGTTAAGAGAAGCAGAGAGTTGCTTTCCAGGGGCAGGGCGGTCAGTGCTATCCTGGTGTCTTGAGAGCAGAGCTTGTCGGATGCTCCCTGGTGCTGTGCACAGTCCCCCTGCTGTAAGGGGATATTTGCAAATGCTGCAGTGATATAAATCCATTGATTTTTTAAAAAGTTCTCATTGTATAAAGAGCTGTTTTCTGAGATTGAGGTGGGATCTCGTTAATATTTACAAATATCTAAAGAGTGGGTGTCAGGAGGATGGGGTCAGACTCTTGCAGTAGTGCCCAGCAACAGGACAAGGGGCAATGGTCAGAGACCAGTACACGGGAGGTTCAACCTCAACATAAGGAAAATCTTCGTTTCTGAGGGTACCAGGGCCCTGGACCAGGCTGCCCAGAGAGGCTGTGGAATCTATGTCTCTGGAGGCATTCAAACCTGCCTGGATGCGATCCTGTGTGATCTTCTCTGGGTGATCCTACTCTAGCAGGGCGTTGGGTGATCTCCAGAGGTCCCTTCCAACCCCAACCATGCTGTGACACTGTGATTCTCTCCAACACCCACAAATAGTGGGGCAGAGGCAGGTAGTCCAGTTCCTGGTCCCTGAGGCAGAAGGATGCTGGAACCTGAAGGATGCTGCAGAGCCGGAAGCCATGCCCTGGGGTTGGGAGCGGGGAGGGTGTCACATCACGGATGTGAAACCCATTAGTGTTTTATTCCACAAAGCCAATGCACGTGGGAATGGCAACCCCTCGATGTCGAGTTAAGTGAATAGATATGACAAGACATGTCGTTTATCAAAATACTAATCGGTGCCGGGGGGATTGGGTGTGTTCTGGGGAACGGGTGAGGCAGCATAGCGAGGCGTGGGTGACTGCAAGCGATGGGGATGGCAAACACAGCTGTGGGTGCCCGAACTCATCACTGCTGGGAGTCCCTGCCTCAGATTGCTGCCAGAGATGCGGTACCTTTATAAAGCTGCAGAGATAATTGTAGTTTTAATGTTACCAGCAGGGGAGTTTGCATGAGGCGGAGGCATTCCCAGAAGACCTCTGCAGGTACCATCCTGGAGGCATCCGACGTGACTCAGCATCTTTACTGATGGTTTTTAAAAGTAGGTCTCAAATTAGCACCTGTTTTAAAAACTAGGAGACAATCTAAAGATGGGGATGCTGGGAAGTGATCCCAGGAGGCGATTTGGAGCCATGGAAAGTGGTTGGAACTGTGATCAGCTGCAGGCAGTTTGGGAGCAAGGCTGTTGCTGAGCCCATGGTGGAATAGCAGAGCCTGGCCCTGCCTGTGTTATTTGATGGAGCTCATTTGACTGGTGAGGAAGCAGGGAAGTGCTGCATGTGCATAAAAGCTGAGGAAATGCTTCATGCTGGGGGAACATGAGCAATCTTCTTGCCTTTTCATCAAGAAGCTAAACAATGTAAGTGTATATCGCTTTATCAGGGGGTGATGGTGGGCATCCAGCAGCTCTTTGGTCTAGCAAAAAGTCTGTATCTGTAAGCCAAAGCTGGGTGACTGCTATCCAGAATAAGGCACAGGTGCGGCCATGTATTTATTCATTTTTCATAGGATTTGGGTTGGAAAGAAACTCTAAAGGCCATCCAGTCCAACCCCCTGCAGTGAGCAAGGACATCTTTAGCTAGATCAGATTGCTGAGAGCCCTGTCCAACCTGACCTTGAATGCTTCCAGGGACGGGGCATCTACCACCTCTCTGAGCAACCTGGTCCACTGTTTTACCACCCTCGTCATAAAAAATTTTGTCCTTATATCTAATCTGAATCTGCCCTCTTTTAGTTTAAAACCAGGCTCTTTTAGTTTAAAACCAGTCTGCAATGCTTGGGAGTCCCATACTCCAGGAGAAATCACTCTTTCAGACCAGACACTTGATCTGTACTGACCACCTGTGCTTCACCCTCCAGCCAACCTGAAGCCCCATTAGAAGCGTCTGCTCGAAAAGCGTGGTTTCTCCTGGAGTGTGAGACTGACATGATAGCACTGCAGCCTCTTACTGCTGAGGCTAGCCCTCATTTTGTCTTGTCCCGTTGATCTGAATGAAGTAATTTATAAGGACATTTTCCATGAATCAATAAATCCATGCTTGCTGCTTTGCCTGGGAGGCTTAATTTGCTCTAGATACTGCACTGAGCGTCTCTGTCCTGAATCGCACTGTGCAGTACTGCTCTTTGGGAGAGGATGCGGATACGGCTGGATCCTCTGGGAACACGCTGCGGGTGGCTGATGGTGCCCAGTCCCTCTCGATTGTGTGTCTCCCAATGTGCACTAAAGAAGTTAGGGAGTGTGTGAGCACAGTAGTTTCTCTAGGTATGCCTGTGTAGCTTGAGGAATTTGTCCCTTGTGCCAAACAATTCCTAGTGTTGAAGGTCTTGGGGAATTTGAAGCCAAAAATTAAAGGAGGAGAGGGAGCTTTGGCCTTTGGAAGGAGACCACAGTGCAGAAATCTCGGTTACAGGTAGATTTCCACTGCAGATCTCTGCGTGATGTTTCCTGTTGACAGAAATTGAAAAATTCCTGTTGCATCGTGCCACCTCCCTTTCCAAAAGACTACTCTTTGTGAGCCAAGGAGTGCACATCTTTTGAAAGTGATGCGTTCGTGTTTATGAAGCCTGCCATGGGATCTGCCTGAAAAAAAGAGTGTTCAAAACCCCAGCTCTGCTACATAGAAAGAAGGCAAAGATAACCCTGTTTGGGATGTTTTGCTTGGGAAAACCGGGAAAGTCCAGAAGCGTTTCCAGAGCCAAAGCAGGTGCGTGCCTGCTCTCTGCTTCTCATTTCCTCTGTCGCTGCAGAGAGCAGCTGAGCTGCACACGGGGTATCAGCGGGGTGTCCCCTCTTTTGTTGTTATGTGCGAGAAACGTCTGTGCGTGTGTTTGTATTTAAACAAAAATAAGTATATATTTTAACATAGCTGGTTGTGAGCTGTGCTTACTTGGGACTGCTCTGGTTGAGTGAAGGAGGGATGTTGCTCACAGCCATCTGATGGTCCTGCTGGTCCGGCCATGCTTGCACTTGGGGAAAAAAACAAGTGTTTACAGGGAACTGTCCCAGAATTGCCCAAACTTGCTGTTATTGGTGTCACAGTATGGCCTGAACCTTTCCACTTGTGTCCATTGTGCGTTTGCTGTCCCCATTTTCCTGCACGCTTGCTGGTGTGTTGGGATAAAACCAGTGTATCGCCACACTGCTGCCCATCCTCTGGGAGGTCAAAACATCACTGTGCCAATGGCAGCCTGGAGCAACCAGGTAAAATTGTCATTCAAAATAATTGCCAGGATGGTTTCTCCTCCCTTTCCCCCCACCCTTGTCCCCATGTTCTTCTCTGGCACTGTGTCCTTCCCCACCTGAGTCTGTTCAGTATTTATGTTAAAAGGGAAATATTACGTATGTAATTAAAACATCATATTGCTGGGAAGAAATGGGATTTTGTTTTCACTGCTGTGACTCTTCCTCATGTGTGAGGGTGAACTGATTGATTACTGAGGTTTGAGATTAAATATTCCCCTGAGCTCTACTGACATTTAATGTGGTGGAGGGAGGGCAGAGAGAAGGGGAGGAGGAAAGCGATGATTTTCCTCCAAGGCCAGGGGAGCAGGGGAACAGCTACTGAGCACATCCCCTTGTCTTGGCTGTCTACTGTAACAGAGGCTCCTGGCGCTGGTGTCATGGACCACAATAAAGCAGGTGCTTTACTCTGCATCCATGGTGGTGGGTGAGCTGCTGCTGCTGGGCTTTGCTGGTTCCTCTCATCACTAGGTTGAGCCACCCCACCCCACCCCATCCCATCCCCATGGCTCAGCTGCATCCTCACCTCCCTGTATTCCAGGCCCCGCTTGGGTCACTGTGAGCCTGGCAGTGGGGTAGACCTGCTGTCCCCTCCCTTCTCACTCAAGGCACGCCTTATTTATTTCTTTTCATTCATACCCTTTAATCCAAAAAAACGTCTCTTTTTGGTTGTGATGGGAGGGGAGGAAAAACCCCAACGCGCCGCTCCTCAAGCGTGCTGGCCTGGGTTGGAGACGCTCACCTTGGTCTGCTTTCCTTCAAGTCTAATTTTAGCTGAAGACGACGGGATCCCTCCGGGGTGCAGCAGAGATTTCCTATCAACCGAGACCTTAAGAAACACGCAGGCAAACAAAAACAACTGAGATCCACCTACCGTTTATTTGGGTGAATTCTTTTGAAAAAGGGTGTGACTTATTTTTGCGAACAGCCCCAGCGCACACCAGCTTTGTTCTGCTGCAGTCGGGTATTTCAGGTCTTCCAAGATGTAATCAGAATAATTAGTTACTGTCTGTTTATGCCTTCTGTTTTTGTTGCAGGGTTTCCAAAGGGCGTATTTATCTTCCAGAGCGCTGCCTAAGTGTCGCTTAATCATTAAACATCTGATTTTCTCCAAGTTACCTGTCATGCTGCTTATGTAAGTAAAAAAAAAAAAGACGGGAGGAGGGTGGGGGTGGTGTTGGTGGATTGTTCTTGGTGGGGTTTATAAGGATTTTTCCTGATTGTCACGGGTTTAATTGCGAGGAGCTGCCTTTGGTTCCCAGCCCATCATGCGGTGATCAGAGGACTGCGTGTTTGGATTGGTGCTTAATGACCCAGCCAGTTTAATGAGGTTGCTTTCAGCCAAGCCTGCGTGTATACCCCACTGAACTGGCAAGAGCTGTGTTAGTCCCTGGCATTTCAGGAAGAGGAGGGAAAAAAGTGGCTTTGCAGAAAAAAAGGGCTTTTGCTTTCACTTGCACAGTTACGCCTTTTACTCCTTAACCTGGTGATATCCCTTATAAAAATCACAGTTCTGCCTGGAAGTAGAATACCACTATAAGTTTGCCAGGATTGGATACTGGGTTGATTTTGAGCCTGTATTTGCATGTTTGGTTTGGGAAGGGAAGTGGGTGATGTACATATTTTCCCTCTCCCTAACATGGGGGATGAGAAAGATGCAGCAAAACACTGCAGAAGAGGACGGAATGGCTGGAAAGCCCCACAGTGAGACAGGAGTGGTGTAGTACCCACCCCTGCTTCGTGCTTGGCGCCTAAATGAATCGCATGATATTTTCCCTTCAGTATTTACTGCAGAGAGCAGCCGAGGGCGGCTGCTGTGCTGATGGCAGTGTGAGCCTGCAGTTTTTTTCCCCTTAGTTTCTGTTTCTTCCCCAGCTGGAGTGGGTAGGGGTTGTGTGCCAGGATGCTGGCTCCTCGGCTGCCCTCGCCACCTCATTTATCATGTCAGGTGTGCCAACTCTGGGGCAAGGGTTCGGAGTGCGCGCTGCCTCCGTGATGGGTTTAGATCCTTTTAAATCCAGAAGCAGCCATTGCCATCAGCTCTCCTGTGTGATGGGGACCGTGAATTTTCAAGGTCAGTAACTTTGTGTCAGCCCTTCTTGGGGATTACAGATGCAAAACAAGGGCTTTTGTCTCCTTCCCCAGGAGGAGCTTATTAGAGGGAAGGGGCCAGGGTGAGTGCAAGGTGAGGCCATCGGGACCTGTGGGGCTTTGGTGGCTTCAGGGGACCCAGCAAAACATGCTTGCATGGAGACTGAGGTTGAAGTCCATCTCCTCTGCATTTGTTGGGGTTCGCTGCGTTGGGGCACGTGTCAGACTCTGTGCCACAGCAGAGCTGAAGCTGGGCAGGTTTCCCACATCCTGTCCACCTCACCCAGCTCCCAAGCAACATTTTGGGGAGATGCTGGCAAATCCGCTGTCCTCTCTGGGACCGACATGGCAGCTGTCACAGCCGGCGCCAGGTTTCTGGTGGTCCTTACTTTTTCTGCTCCGGTGTGCACAGGGGTGGGAAAAGTCTGATTTGATGGAATATTCTTAAGGAAGGCTGTCAACCTGATACTTTCTTTGACGTTTACCCAGCTGGAAAGCTAGTGGAGGTTCAGATGACACTTCCTGAAGTGCTGGGGATGTGTGATGTGCAGCGCTGCCATTGCTCCTGCCCAGCAGGACACATCCAGCCGCAGCGAAGGATGCTAGAGGGGTGGCAGGTCTCTAATCCCCATCCTCCTGGCACGTGCCTGCCCACTCCACTCAGCTTCTCACAGATTGGCTTGGTCTGGAGGAGAGAGAGGTGGAGAGGAGGAGCAGAGCTGCTGAGAGTTGAGGAAGGTGAAAGCATGGAGAGGAATGAAAGCAGGCAGCACCATGGAGGTGAATGCTGGGAGAAAAGGAAGATACTGTGGCTTCTTTGTCTTGTACTTTAGAAGCTGCTCAGTTAAAGGAAGCATTCACTAGGAACCTGAATTTGGCTTTTAAATAGCTTTGGAGCATGTGAATGCTCCATGTGGCTCTCTGCTCCTTTCTTTGGTGGGAGTCACTGCCTGTCCCCGTCTCTCTTTGATGAATGTCCCCATTGCAGGTTTGCCTTGGGACATGGGAGGTGCAGCTTGGTGGCCACATGCTTTCAAAAAGTCTTTCCAGTTATCCCCAAGCTCCTTGTCACTCTGGATTGCTCATCCTTTGACTCCCCCCAGCCTGGCCTCTGCGAGCCTTGGCCATCAGAACTGACCACAGGAACTGGTCACTGCATGCCAGAGGGTTTGGCAGTCACCTCATAGCACCAGATGATCTGGGATGGGCTGATTGGTCTTCCATCACATCTCTTTGAACATCCCACTTACGGCAGAGCCGATGGCCCTTTGGCTTTCCTATGCTTTTGCAGGGCTGTGTGTTTCTTTTTTCCTTTCAGCCACCTGAAATACTCCTCCTTGAAACTGGAAGATGATTTTTTCCTGGAATATCTTACTTCCCCAGTTGTCCTTTGGTGCAGAACTGGCTGTTCTTTGCACGCTTGGGTGTCCTGCTACTTGGTAAAGGAAACCCGTAACACTTAGTTTTATTTAATTCCTGTAGAAAATGAAGGTATTTCATGCTGTTTCCTTTTCTTGGCCCCCACAATAACACAGCCCTGTGATGGAGGATGCCAGAGGCAGACCCAGGTCCTACGGATTGGGATGCAGAGGATGTTTGCTCTCCAAAAGCCTTTATCTCAGTCAAAGATGGAGAATATTCCCACTCACCACAGCCCCCCTGAGAGGACCAGCTGTGCTCCCCCGCACAAGCAGACCGTGTCCACCGGGTACCACTGAGGTGCCCCCAAGACTGAGGCTGCTTCCTTGCTCTCTCCCTGCACCATGTGCCCACCAGCCACTTCCAGATGTGGCAGGGGAGAAGGTTTGGAAGGAGCACACACTCCGCTTTCCTCATAAAACTCCAAACAGGAGGCTTGGCTTGGTTTAGATTTTAAAAATAACTTGCACATTTGGAAGCTAAAGTTTCAGAAGGGCTCCAAATGGGATAACAGCTTTGATCGTGGCAGTCCGAGATCAAGGGAGGGCATTTTAGGTTTGCTGGATCAGCTGGAAAAGATATTGTAGTGTCTAGACTTTATCATCCTCAAGCAAGGCTTTTTTTTTAACTCTACAAAAGGTCTAATCAAAAGCCTGCATACAGTTGATAGGAGGGCTCCTTCAGAAAGGAGCCTGCTTTGGGTTTTGATTGTGTCCAGAAGCAAGTTGAAAGAGTTGGAGATCAGCTTTGGACTTTGGAAGACCTCTAAGAGTCTGCTTTGTGGGCACTGCCATTTCTGATGGGGCCACTGGCATGGGTGGAAGCTGTCGCATCAGCAGTGGGGCGAGGAGGCTGGGGACGGGGACCTGCTGTGTGCCAGCCCGCGGTCCCCATAGCGGTTGGTTCTTGCACTGAGCACTGCTGAGACCTGGCTGTTTGCCCTCCAGCTGCTGCGGTTGGGGTCAGCTGCTCAGACCTGCATCTCCCACAGCCGTCTCAGTTTGGGCTGTGTAATAAATATAAGTGTCCACTTTTGTTAGTGTTTGCACAGAACTTCAGCATTTCTTGCTTAAGTGTAGAAACTGTATGTTTTTCTCTTTACGTTCCACAGATGGTTTTTTTGCAATAATTTTTAAAAATAATTTTATTATTTTATTATTTAGTTTATTATTTTCCATAATTACGAAGTATTAGAGGCAGAGGAGTGGTTCCTAAGGTGCTTGGAATAAACTCAAAAGCCTGCCCTGAAGGTGAGGACATCTGACCACGTTCATTCACTGACTCCCTCTTCCTGAAAGCCCCCGTAGCAATCGAGCTCCATCACGTTGGAAGATGCCCCATTGAGAAAGCAGAGGCAGTTTTTCTTCAAAACTGTGTTTTGGCAGGTGTGTTGTTGGAGGAGTCATCACCGATCGTCTCCTTGGTTGATGCTGCACTCAAATAATGTCACGGGCTGCAACCGTAGCCCAAGGCTTTGGTGGAGTTGCAGCCTCACTGTGAAAGCTTCAGCTGGAAGCTTTGGAAAACATTTGCAAATGTTTTAGAAAACATTTGGATTGAGGATGTTGTAGCTCTGCGTCTGGTTGTTTTCCTTTGCTTTGTCCTTGAGAGAGGGAACTGCTGTTGGGTTTCTGTTTTTTTTCTTCCAATCAATTACTTTTTTTAGATGTATTTATTTCCAGGAATGAATCAGAGCAAATGCCAGTGTGCAAACAGTTTGTGGTGTAAAATGGTATTAAAATTGGGGTGGAAGGGGTCTTGAGAGGTTACCTTGTCCCCAAGACAGGGCCAGTTGAATCTATGCATCAAACTGGAAGGTGATCATGTGTGCTGGGAGTTGTTTTCTCATAAGTTATCTAAGGAGCAGAGGCAAAAACCTAACAAATAATGCTGTCAGTATGTGCGCGCAAGCCTCCCTGTGTTTATTCAAATAATTTGTTGAGTAAGTGTTGAAAATTAATGCTGGGTTTGTTCCCAGAGCTATTCAAAGCAATATTCCAGAGTAACCTTTTCCACCTTGGCATTTGCCAAAATACTGCAGCTTTCATGGATGAGATGCATGGAGCCATGATCTGTATTTGACATGGAGCCTTCTCCGTTTTCCCCATTTCTGAGACACCCTGACCTCAGACACACCACTGGGACAAAGAGCAGCTTTTTCTTTGTTTCTTGTGAATTAGATCCGACTTTTCAGCTCTCCAGGTGGTCCCCGCCTGAGCTGGAGGAGCAGCAACAGGAAGCCCCCAGACCCACCCCTGTAGTTTGGGATGCTGCAGCACAAGCCCCATGGAAATCAATGGTGACCTCTTCCCTTGACATCAGCAGGTTTAGATAAAGGTTTGTGTCTTGAGTGATGGATGGAAAAAACTATACACAAGAGCCCTAGCTTAATGCTCTGACCTTTTAAAGGTGCTGCAGAGCTCCAGTGGGTCTTTTTTCCTCTCTTATAGCTCCCCATTTCAGTGATGAAAGGTTTTGGAAGAGGTTCACCTGTAGCCAGCAGGATGCTGGCTTGCTCTCCAGCCAGCATTGCATTGGTATTAGCATCCACACAGCCCAGATGGTGACTGGTTTTCCTTCATCTTGTCCTTTCCCCAACCAGTTTATAGGAGGTAACAGTAAAAT